TTCTTTTACCTCTCCATTTCTCTCTCTCTATTTCTTTCTCTCTCTTTCTCTCCCGACGGGTCCTCGTTGGTCGTCGCAGGTCTTCTCCAGGTCGGCATCTCAAGTCATATCACACTGATCAGCGAAATCTCAGCATCTCTCCTTGATCCCTTCAAAATCGGCGCTCTTCCTTCCTCTCAATGGTCACAGGATCTCAAAAAGCTCAATGTGGCTCCAATCCTCAACAGGTAATATGGTCATTCTATCGATCCAAGGATTCATTCTCGTCAGCGTCACTCAATTCGTTCATCTCAACAGAAAATGTATCGCTCCCTCCGTGGAAGATACCATCGGTCCCCCCTCTCCTCCCCCCTCTCTCCCTCCTCTTCGACTCTTCTTCTCTCCTCTCTCCCGCCTCTCTGATCACTCTCTCCTCTCTCTATCTCTCATCTATCTCTCTCCTCTCTCCTCTCATCTCTCTCTCTCTTCTCTCTCTCTCTCTCTCTCTCTCTCTCTCCATTGTTCTTTCAGCTTTGTCTTTGCCCCGAAGACTGTCGATAATGCCACGCTATTGTAATTGACTTCGTTTTAAACTTTACACCAAAGACCCTTGAACACGATCCCCTTGCACAAACTAGTTTAATGAGACGCTTTATAAACCCTGAGATTAAGAGGGAAAGATAATGGTTCTTTTTATCTTTACCTAAGATTGCAAATTTGCATTTTTTTACATGGTGTTGACATCCTTTCGTAAACAAGGCTTTGGTAAGATGGCCTTGACATTGTCGTTTGTGTGGTTAATCTAGTGATAATTAAATAAGATAAGAGAATGTTGTGCTTAGTCTGTTTTGTTTTTTCAGTACAGTTACGTTTTGGGATTTTTTCTCTTTGGTGTTTAAGTTGTATGTATATATGGACTTCGTTTTAGTATTTTCAAAGTACATTCATAATTATGTCTTTTTGTTTGCTGTTGTTGTTTGTCTCTCCCTCTCTCCCTCCCTTTCTTTCATTTACTCTCTCTCTCTCTCTCTTCTCTCTCTTCTCTCTCTCTCTCTCTCTCTCTCTCTCTCTCTCTCTCTCTCTCTCTCTCTCTCTCTCTCTCTCTCTCTCTCTCTCTCTCTCTCTCTCTCATCTCTCTTCTCTCTCTCTCTCTCTCTCTCTCTCTCTCCTCTTCTCGCCTCAAAAATCTCACCCCTCTTCTTTTCCCCGCAGCCTCCCCCGCCGACTGGTCCCAGCTGTGTGTGATCCTCCTGCCCATCCTGGTGGTGTTCGGACTCGTGGCCACCCTCGCCGTGCACTTCTGGCGCCGCTACCACCGCGACAAGTACGACATCAACGCCTACAGACCGGACGAGAGAGAGAAGCTCCGCCCCGTCAAAACAGCTGACGACACCCAGACCGTACGGCACGTGTGAAGCGTACGGCGAGCGGAGTAAAAAAGAGAAAAAAAGGTGGAAAGGCGTCGCGGAATTTATGAATGGATGGAGGAGTGTTTTTTTATGAATGAGTAGAGGCGTTTGTGAATGAGGAATCTTGTGAATGGGTGGAGGGATTGATGAATGGGTGGAGGTCGTGATGGATAATTTTTTTTCCTTCGTGAGTCTTGTGTGTGTGAGAGAAAGAGAAAGAGGAGATGGAACTATAAAAATAGATAATGAGAAAAGAGAAGAGAAAGGGACGGTGTGTCTCGGTGGCGGAACGAGGCAAGGTAGAAGCGTGAAGATAATAAATTTAGAGAGAGAGAAAACAAACAAAAATCTTGATATTATTATTGCTGTTATTATTATTATTATTATTATTATTATTATTATTATTATTATTATTATTTATTATTATTTTTAGTCTCGTTTGGATAACTATTCACGTTCTTTTTTCGGCATTTTCCTCAAAAGCTGGAAGTTTGTTGTTTAAAAAATCTAGCAATTCAAAAGAAAAAACAAAGAGAGGTTTGAAAAAAAATAATTGAAGACCCTCCCTTCCCCCTCCCCCTCCCTCCCTACCCCCCATTTATCTCCCACTCCCCCTTCCAAAACAAATAGTTTACAGTAGTTTGCAATATATCGGTACTTTATTCATTGAAATTTTTATTATCTTTGTCATAATATCCTTATTTTTATTAATATTTGCATCATTATTTCATGCATCTAAGGATCCAGCGCCGCCTCATATACACACCTTCCCCCTCTGACCCCTCCCCACCCCCCCTTCCCCCTCCCCCTTCCCCCTTCCCCCTTCCCCCCCCTCCCCCCCCTCCCCCTCCCTCCCCCCTCCTCCCCCCTGACTCCCCCACCTCCACCTGACTCCATCTTCTCCCCCCACCCCCACCTCCCTCTGACCCCCTGACCCCCCACCCCCCCTCACCCCCCTTCCCAACCTTCCGGCAGAGAGAAAAGCTATTTATATCCAGTGGCGATTTTTGGTTGTGGAAAATACATTATTCAGATGTGTTTGTAAATGTGTTGTATCTAGTCATTTGACTTATAAATCATTAATGTATTATGGAGATCCACTGTGGGATCGTAATATATATATATATATTTCTTTTTTTCATATTCTTCTTCATCTATATCTTTCTTCTTATTTTTCTTCTTCCTCTTCTTCGTCTTTCGTCTTCTTTTGACTTCTCTTTATTCTTCATTTATTTAGGGTATACATAATATGATATAGTTGATAGCTTCAATCCCCTTTGGCATTTATACTAATATTATTGTATTTTGAAGCGAGTCTGAGAAAGGGGAGGTTTTTCCCCTTTGAAAACAAACGCAGAGATGTTATGTGTGCGTAAAAAAAAATGTTTAATGATTTGGAAAAGAAAAAAAAAAGAAAATTGGTTTAATGTGTGATTAGAACCCCCTCCTCATCCCCCTCCCCCTGTGTCTGTCTTCCCTCTACCCCCTACTCCCCTCCCTACTCTGCCCCCTTCCTTATTTCCCTAAAATGGTTCGGGAATGAGAATAGGAATGGGTTGAAAAAATAAACAATAATTATCATTTAAATGCCATGGGTTCCACAAGAGCATTTTTTTTGTCTTTTTTTACCCGTCATGTGATATTGGAAAGGTTTGAACCAGTGCTGTGATGGACAAAACAAGAGAGAGAGAAGAGAGAAAGAAAGAGAGAATTGAACAAACAAACGGACAAATGAATAAAAAAGATGAGGAGAAAGAAAGCAAGAAAAAGAAAACGTAATAAAAAAAATAGAAACGAAATATAGAATAAAAAAAGAAAAGAAAAAATCCGAGATCATTACAGGTATGAGAAAATGAAACAAATCATTTTTTCCGTCACCTGTTTTCATCAATAACTTTTTTTTTAGTCACCTGCCGTTCAACTTTGATTCTGAATGGTGATGATGGTGATGATGATGATTGCGATGCCATTGGTGGTGAAAGTGGATCTTGGAATTGATAGAGTGGTGTATCTTAGTGTAATATGATTAACATTATCATTGGGTGTTGGTTATTATTGATATTATTGTTTTTTGTGGTGATTGCATTAGTTATTATATGTTTATGTAATTTACTTATTAATTTCTACTTAGATTCTTATTATTATTTTAGTAATTGTGTATATTTTCTTTTGTCAGAAGAACCACAACTACTATCATTACATTTATTAATACTATTATTACTATCATTATGGTTATTACTATTATTTCCATCATTATGATTTTTTTCTAGTAATATTGATATCATTATCATTATTATTACCAAGCCCACAAAGCTATGTTTTATTTCCATACAGAAAAAAAGTCTATGTTAATCCAGGATTCCAAGAAAACTCATCTCAGTCACAGTGCTGTCTAGAAAACCTTCTCTTAGCTATTAAAGCATATTATTCAAAGCTGTCTTTGTAAATATTCTAGAGTTACGTAATGCTCGCCTCACTTCAAGGAAATTTGACTCTCATATATTGTCTCATTTTTTTTTTCTTTCTTTTTGGAACATTTTTTTTAGATAATGATTGGATATATAAAAAGAAAATGGAATTGTATTTGTTCCCCATTTTTCCCTTTTGAAATATTTCATAAAGAATGAAAAAAGATGTATATTTTCCTTGAAGTGAGACACAAGGAATTTTCTAGCTTGTGGAGAAAATACAGTGTATTGTTATTATAAGTGCTATTGTTGTTATTCTTTTTAATTATTTTACCATTATTATCATTACTATAATTATTATAATTTGTTATTGATATTATTATTGATTGTCAGTATTCATTCAGTTATTGACGACATTTTA